TGTAATTTTAATTAGCTTGATTTTGGCTATTAATTTTAGATTTTGTATCAATTTAGTCCAATGATAATGGTTGTTAAGATTTTAAAAAAAAAATTGTTATTGAGTTGGTTGACATTAACTTGCTGAGTTAAACAAATTTATAATTTTGTCTATAAAATTATAATAAATGCTACTCATGTGTGTATTTTTAATATAAAAAAATAGCAATAATAACAATTGAACCAAATTGAAACAAAATTATAAATTCAGAATCAAAATCAAACAAATTAAAATTGCAAGGACAAAAATAATATAAGAGTTAAAATATAAGGACTACCAACTTAATTTATTCTTTTAAGAATAACAACATAATTTCTTAATTAATTTTAAAATTGTTAATAAATATATAAAACAAATATGTACATATTTCCATTTTTGTTATAAATTTTTTAAAAAATACATTTACTAATTAAAAATTAAATAAATAGGTGGGTCTACTAACTCATGAATTGAACATGAACTAGACGATTCTCCAAAGACTAGGCTTAAATAAAGAATTATTGGCAAAAAAAAATCGATTGGAATTAAATTTTCTTGGCTAGTTTTTAGTGTTTAATCCAGTATTAAAACCCCTCAAATTAGCTCATACCAGTCACGAATTGATAAGTTATGATAAAATTTAAATTTATTAAGACTAAAATATGATCTACAATTTAGGGTGACTCTATCTTAGATAATTTTTCATCCATAAATATATATAACTATTCATTTAATTGTTTTAAACATAAATATATAGTTTTTTAAAGGGAAAATCGGTCTAAGGTCCCTATCCACTTTTTAGTAATGGATTAGGTCCACAATATATTCTTTTGTAGTCTAAGGTCCCTCACCCCCATACCCAACAAATTAGACACAGGTGATAGAATTAAGCTTGAAGACAATGATCCTCAACATCGACCAAGAGTTCGCCTTCTTCGGAGGAGTGGACACTCCGCCTGCTTCAGCGTCGACGTCCGCCTCTAGTTCGCGATCTCCGACAATGAGGCAACGGTCTGGACTCTGCTTTGGCCGCTCGAGCTCTCCGTCAACAGAGACCAAGGTCCATAGCTATTGCTGCTTGCTGCCATGGAAGTTGTGTGTGTGTTTGTTGGTTTTTTTTGAGGCTTCTCCGTTGAAGTTGAAATTTCTGGCTCTGGTTCTGAGGGTAAAGCAAGAGTGAGTTCTCTTTCCTCTTCAATTCTTTTCCTTCTTTCACAATTTTTGGTTGTTTTTTTTTTTGGCACAAGGGTGGAATTATCTGGTTAAAATGTTTTGTCAGTTTATCAAAATTTTTCCCCAATGAAAGGAATTGTCATATTGTGATGTGAAACTATCAATCAATCTATTTCTCAATTAAAATCATCTATAGTATTTAGATGATCATGTTAACCATTTTGTTTCTGGTTTTGTCCATTTTGTGTATTTCTTGTTTTGTCCATTTTGTGTATTTCTTGTTTTGTCCATTTTGTGTATTTCTTGTTTTGTCCATTTTGTGTATTTCTTGTTTTGTCCATTTTGTGTATTTCTTGTTTTGTCCATTTTGTGTATTTCTTGTTTTGTCCATTTTGTGTATTTCTTGTTTTGTCCATTTTGTGTATTTCTTGTTTTGTCCATTTTGTTTTATTACAGAAATTCTGGGTTTAAACTAAAATTTCCATGGGTTGATTTTGAAATTTCTCTGGAGAGGTAATGTTGTGGAAATGTAGAGAAATTTCTCTGGAGAGTGGAACATATATGGAAGGCCAGAGAAATTTGAAATTTCTCTGGAGAGTCTATCAAAGGCTAAGGAGACCAGAGAAATTTGAAATTTCTCTGGAGAGTCTATCAAAGGCTAAGGAGACCAGAGAAATTTGAAATTTCTCTGGAGAGTCTATCAAAGGCTAAGGAGACCAGAGAAATTTGAAATTTCTCTGGAGAGTCTATCAAAGGCTAAGGAGACCAGAGAAATTTGAAATTTCTCTGGAGAGTCTATCAAAGGCTAAGGAGACCAGAGAAATTTGAAATTTCTCTGGAGAGTCTATCAAAGGCTAAGGAGACCAGAGAAATTTGAAATTTCTCTGGAGAGTCTATCAAAGGCTAAGGAGACCAGAGAAATTTGAAATTTCTCTGGAGAGTCTATCAAAGGCTAAGGAGACCAGAGAAATTTGAAATTTCTCTGGAGAGTCTATCAAAGGCTAAGGAGACCAGAGAAATTTGAAATTTCTCTGGAGAGTCTATCAAAGGCTAAGGAGACCAGAGAAATTTGAAATTTCTCTGGAGAGTCTATCAAAGGCTAAGGAGACCAGAGAAATTTGAAATTTCTCTGGAGAGTCTATCAAAGGCTAAGGAGACCAGAGAAATTTGAAATTTCTCTGGAGAGTCTATCAAAGGCTAAGGAGACCAGAGAAATTTGAAATTTCTCTGGAGAGTCTATCAAAGGCTAAGGAGACCAGAGAAATTTGAAATTTCTCTGGAGAGTCTATCAAAGGCTAAGGAGACCAGAGAAATTTGAAATTTCTCTGGAGAGTCTATCAAAGGCTAAGGAGACCAGAGAAATTTGAAATTTCTCTGGAGAGTCTATCAAAGGCTAAGGAGACCAGAGAAATTTAAAATTTCTCTGGATGGATAATTTTGTTAGAAGACCAGTGTAAGGGTGTTTATGGATGCAGAGAAATTTAGATTTTCTGAGAATAATTAGATTTTCCAGAGAAATTTGGACTGAAATTTCTCTGGACCAATTTTCTCTGGACTGAAATTTCTCTGCACCAATTTTCTCTGGACTGAAATTTCTCTGCACCAATTTTCTCTGGACTGAAATTTCTCTGCACCAATTTTCTCTGGACTGAAATTTCTCTGCACCAATTTTCTCTGGACTGAAATTTCTCTGCACCAATTTTCTCTGGACTGAAATTTCTCTGCACCAATTTTCTCTGGACTGAAATTTCTCTGCACCAATTTTCTCTGGATGTTTATATGACTGTAATGAATACAATCTAATTTTTTTTTCAAAAAACATAGATTAAAAATACAATCACGATATTGAAAAATAAATTAAGTCCAATTACAATCACAAAATACAATCCAATTATCATCAATCAAACAAAGTGTAAAAATACATTCACCGTATTGAAAAACAATGAAGTCAATTGGCAATTAAAAAAATAAAATTATTGGGTGATGGCTAGTGTTGGGTGGTAAAAAAAAAACTGAAAACTCAAAATGGAAACACATTTTTTGACCAAATTTATAAACTGAGACAACTGATTTATAAATCAAAAATTTACCAAACAAGTTTTTATTTGAGTTTTTAAAGTTTTTGTAAATATAAACAGAAAACTGAAAATGTAAGTGTTATCAAATGGCACCCAAATGATTCATATAAGTTGGGAATAGACAAAGATAATTTTTAATGATTAGGTGAAAGACAAGTTGACATAAATCTAATGTTAAGCCTAAATTTAATATCATAAGTGAATTCTAATCTATTTTTACATAAATCTTATAACATAAGATAAATTATAATTTTGATGCTAGACAAATTTTTAAACTTTACAAAACATGAAAAAATTAATTTGACAAATGTAATTTACCACTATCATATGATAAATTAAATTTATGAAATTTATAAGACGAGATGCATTTATATTTTATCATAAATATAATTTTTGTGATTTATTTTTTAATTTTTACCAATTAAATTATGACATGTATTTGTTATTAAGAACCTAGAGCACACAATTAATGACATAAGAATATAAAAAAAAATTCTTTATATGTAACTGTGATAAAAATGAATAAAATTTAATTGATTCTAAATTATTTTTACTAAATATTCTAGATAGTTTTTTTAGATTATTATTTAATTTTAAAAATTAGTTTTTGATTATTTATTTATATGTGTGCATAGCACGAGGTAATTATGCTAGTATTTGTATATGCAAAAATACCTTATAAAAAATTACATGTAGGGTTGTTTATCAAAAAAAAAATTAATTATTCTATCAATTTTTTTACAAATTTTGTAAAAAAATCAAAAATATTAATTAAAATAACATATCTCCAAAACAACCGCTATCAATTTTTTTACAAATTTTGTAAAAAAATCAAAAATATTAATTAAAATAACATATCTCCAAAACAACCGCAATTATTCCCCCCAAAAAATTATGGTTTGTACAATTTATATATTAGATAAAATTATAATTTTAAAGTAACATATGTTGATTGATATATAGCACTACAATTGTTTATTTTAAAAATAAAAATAAAAATTAGGCCTTATTTATTATATACTAAAAAAGTTAAAAAGTTAGTATCTTATTTAAGTTATATCGTCTTATTTAAGTCACATTATATCTTTATCAGATCACTTTAAATCCAACTTAAATTCAACCTATATTTCATAAAAATTCAAAAAATACACTTAGGCTTTGTTTGGGAACAGGCTAATTTAGTAACTTTTTGGCTAATTGGCTAAAAAGGTAGGTAAAAAAAACTTGTATGTTTGAGATGACTTTTTGACTAATTACGAAAAGTTGTGCAAAAAGTAGAGAGAAGCCATAATTGTTGACTTTTTGGTATGACTAATTAACTAATTGATTAATTTAATAACTTTTTGACTAATTGACTAAAAAAGTAACATCCCAAACGAGGCCTTATATACAACCTCACAAATCACACTTTAAATGACTTCGTGCTGATTCACGCTTACGTGGCAGTTTTTAACCACATGAAGCCGATAGAACATAGTATTCGTTTCTGTTTTGGTCGGAATAATTTCTCATCGTATTCCGTTCCGTACAAAACTAGCCAAACAGAGTTTTACCCAAACCCCTGGACACAGCAAAAACCACCCCAAACATTAGCACATTCTCATCAAATCTTCTATCCCCATCCCACATCTAATCTGGCAATATCAAAAACGAGACTGCCCCTATAATAAAGCAAAAGGACAAGAACAGACAGAGAGAGAGAGTGTGTCTGTGTTACAACCGCGTGATAAATAGAACTAGATAATCCACTTTACTCTTTCTCTCCCCTCTCTCTCTCTCTAGGGATTCGCTGCGTCCCGCAAAACCCTCGCCTAACCACCATGGTTTGATTCTCCGGCGAGATTCGCCGCCGTCCCGATCCTTTCTCCTCCGCCTTTCCCGCCGATCCGGTAACTCCACTTCGGTTTCTCTCTCTTCTGTCGATTCATTTGTGCAATTTCTTTACGTTAATCTTCAGATCTAGACCTACTCTCTACTCTTATTCTTGAAATTTTGCCTGTTCTTAGCTATCTCTTCGTTTGTGCTTGATTTGGTATGTTGATTGACGTTCTAGATCTTCGTTTTATGTAATTGTTTTTTGTAATTTGTGTTTATTTCAGGTTTGCTTTGTTGATCTAGTTATCAGCAATCTGGGGTTAAGTCGTTGTTGAAGCCTATTGTTCTGTGGAATTGAAGGTGTTGCGATTATCACTGGTACGATACTTGGGTATATACTGTTGTTAAGTGGTTATTTACTTCGTTTTGTTTGATTTTCTATACTTGCTACATGCATTTTGTTCTCTATGTTTCGTTTTACTAATATTTATATTTGTTCTGTCGATTCTTCTTTTTTCATGGCTGCTAGTGTTTTGAAAATTACCATTACCTGGCGGTTTATTTACGCAATTAATACTAAAAATCAAATTTTTAGGAGTCTACAAAAGGAAATCTCCCTCCCACCTTCTTTCTTTCTTGCTATTCGGGGGTGGCAGAGAAGGGTTTGGGGGCTTAGAAGAATCTGGTATCTTAATATGAGCAATGCCTTCATTTTACCCATTGATTGGTAAAAACAATTCTTTACTGGTTTGGTGTCATTGGTGTGTTTGGTTTATCCAGTGTTTACCTTTGTAACTTTGTTCTTACTGGATATGTCGGATGAATGACCTAAAGGCCCCTATTTTCTTATAGTCTGTTATGAATTTAAGCTTTCAGATTTAAATTGGGAAACTTTTGTATTTTTAAGTTGAGTCATTGACTAATGTTTGACATTACATACATAATATGATACACACAAAGCTCCAAAATCCAATAATTTGGTTGTGTGTGCTTTCTTATCCACAAGTTCGTTTATTATATACTCTCTCTCTCTCTCTCTCTCTCACACACACACACACACACACACACACACACACACAGAGAAGAGTTAATGATTCTGCAATTCACGTCAATATAACTGTCAAATTTTAAAATGTGTATGCATATGGGTGTGATAGAAGTCATAAAGTCATGGGTTATTCAAAACACTTTCAGAAAATACTTGAATTGGGATGTTATCATCTTATGTTTCTTGTCTGTTGGGTATTCTTTATTTGAAGTTGTGCGGGAGCTGAAGTACTTTTTGTTTGTTCATTAGGTTTACTTGGAGTTGGATAAATACACGCATTGGCTTTTGCTTTTTATCTTAATTGCTTCTAGTCTTTTAGGTGTCAGCTGGTTTAAAATTGTGTTCTCGAGCTTTTCGAGACTAATAATAATGTGAGGGATAATTGAACATGAACACAAATGTGTTGAAACCATTTCATACCTATTGAATTACTCTCATCTCCTTGGTTCCTCTATTAAATTTGCCTAATATGATGAGAGATGCTTTAAAGTTAAGACAGTTGGGAACTTGGAATATATATTTGTTGTCATGCTATCAATATCCAAAGTTTAGTGGAATTGGGCAAACAGATCTGCTACGTGGATTGGCCTTGGTGTTTGGATGCATCTCCAAGTTCAGTTTTTAGTATACATAGAATAGATTCCCTTAATTTTTTAGTGAATTTTGTATTGAAATTTGAGTTGAGACAGATTATATTTATTAAATTGATATATGAACACTCATAAGAATTTATTTTTTAAATTTTTTGCTTGTGTCAAATATAGTGTAAAGTATTTAAAGCATGGAATAAAATTCCAAAAGACATTTGGTAGGTTTGTATGTCTTCATGCTTGATGCTTCATTTTGGCATCTTCCCTCTTTTTATGTATTGCTTTTCCGTAAGATATTTTCTGAAGAACATCTGATACAGTGACCACTCTGCAGCCCATATCAGGGCTGATAACAAATACCTTGGGTGGTGGGAATCTGGAACATAACTTGGCCTTAATGATGATTCAGTTGACATGTGACAATTTCCTACAAATAAATATATAACTGATATTGACTGAATACTTTATGAATTGTATATTTTTGCAGTTATAGTTTGCATATGTAGCTACAAAAACACAATCACACCCTTCTCACATCAAAACAATCTCACTTTCATTGAAGCATAGTTGTTGTGGCAATACTTGAATTGTTGACTATTTTACGCTTGGCTTGTCATAGACTTGTTAATATCTATTTTATGGAGCAGGTGAACCTGCCAAACCAAGAACCAAACCAAACCGACCTTAATGGTCTTTATTTTAGGCTTGACTTGACAAACAGAGCTGCTGAGATTGTGTGAGAATCAGACAAACACGTCTAAGTTCGTTTTTCAAAATACTAGAAGAGGTTTCCTTAAAATTTGGGTGAATTGATTGGGTAATGGCTTACGAGTTTGAGACAAATTGTTTATATTTTTGCTTGTGTCAAATAAATATGGAATACAATTATAAGTAAAGGTGTCTGATTAATTAGTTTTATTGAAGAGCATTAACTCCCATGATCTTTCAATTTGTTATCATGCATTTTTCCTCTTTTGGAATTAAAGTTACTTCCTCGATGATATTGCACTTTACATGGAATGGTAGGGTTAGATAAGAAATTGAACTTCCTTTTGGATTTTTAGAATAATTAAAATGCATTGTTAAGTAAATTACGAGGTGTATTGCTTGTTTGGTTTAATTGTCATCTCATTTTTGTTGAAAGATGTTTTGGTAGATGCGAATAACTTGATGCTTGATTCTGACCTTTTGTTAGTCTCAAATCTCACAGATTGGGGTGTATACATATTTGTTTGGTAGATGCGAATAACTTGATGCGTGATTCTGACGTTTTGTTAGTCTCAAATCTCACAAATTGGGGTGTATACATATTTGTTTTGTATTTCTTCATCCTTTTATGTTCAGATGATTGTCAACATTTTTTTTCTTGTTAATACTAATAGGATTTTGGCATTATTCCATCATGCTTTGGCAATAGCTATGACCTTTTTAAACTAAAAGATTTCACTATGTGAAATAAGATGTTGAATTCAGATGGTGGATAACGATTTAGTAGTTCAACTTATTGCTTTTAGATGCCAAGTTTTTTATTTTATAATTATCTCTTTTAATTCCGTTATATATTTACTTATTTATTTTATGGGTTCTCTAGGGTTCTCTGCCATGGAAGATACTCAATCAGTTGCTACACTTGTAGACTCTACAACCTCCAAGATACAGCAACTTCAGAAAGCATTTGCTGAACTTGAAAGTCACCGAGCCATAACCCTAAACCTGAAATGGAAACAACTTGAGGAACATTTTCATGGGCTTGAAAAGTCCTTGAAGAGGCGTTTTACAGAATTGGAAGACCAAGAAAAGGAGTTTGAAACCAAAACAATGAAAGCTCGGGAGATGCTGAAGAAGCGTGAAGCAGCTGTTATGGCTAAGGAACATGCTTCGTTGGAGAGGCTCCAAGAAAAGAGAGATGCTGCAGTATTTGCTATTACTAATGCTCTCCAGAAGCACAGGAAGGTTTCTTCTGTAGAACCTGCTGTTGATTCCAGTGAGGATCAAGGTGGGGCACCATTTGTGGAAGAGAAACCACCTGACTCCATGGCTGCCGAGAGTAACTTTGAAGACATGAAAAAGTATTCTGAAAATCAAAATGTGGTGGTGAATAATCCCCAACTAGTGAAATTATGTCAAGAGATGGATTCTGAAGGGCTCCACAAATTCATATCGGACAACCGTAAGAACCTTGCTACCATAAAGGAAGAAATTCCTATTGCATTGAAGGCTGCAGCTGACCCTGCCTCTCTAGTTTTGGACTCACTCAAGGGTTTCTACAGCATGGAGGTGTCAAATATGGATGGGAAAAAGGACTCAAATCTGTTGGGTTTACGCCGGACTTGTATCATGTTGATGGAGTGCCTTAGTATTTTGTTAACAAACCTGGATCTGAGCTCTGTTTCTAATTTAATTTCAGAAAAGGTTAAAGAACGAGCAAAGGCTATTGCTGAAGAGTGGAAACCAAAGTTAGACGATCTTGATGCGGATGCCAACAACGGGAACTCCTTGGAGGCCCATGCATTTTTACAACTTCTAGCCACTTTTGGTATTGATTCTGATTTTGATCATGAAGATTTATCCAAGCTAATACCAATGGTTTCTCGTCGACGCCAAACAGCTGATCTGTGTCGCTCCCTTGGATTGTCAGAGAAAATGCCAGGTCGGTTTTTGCTTACTTTATTTGTTTGTGCTCTCTCTCTGTCTCTCTCCTTTTGGGGGGAGAGTTGTTGTCGGAACCTTGTTGGAGTCATGTAGATAATGTGGCTGGGTAGTATATTCATAAGATGGACTTTACGTACCTTAAAGCTGACTTCCACTGTGTGGCAGTCTGTGTTGCATATACTTTGGGAAAAATGACTCAGACCCCCAGCTGGGGTGCTGGGGGTCGGCTCCTATTGGACGAAAAAAATGTTTTTTTTTTTTTTTTGATTTTCGGCCAACCCTAGTGCGACACGTCACTGGGGGTTGTCAGTGGGGGTCACCCCACTGGGGGTTTGTAGCATTTCCCTATACTCTGGGAAGTGAACTGGGTGCCGTTGCATGTTTAGGGATTCGAAATCATCTAAACATTAGATTTTAGGAAAGTGAAATGATGTGCAACATGTGGATATGCACTCATTGGTAATACAAATTATCCCATGGACTTGTAAATATGTTCCTCTCTCTCGACAAGTGATGTTCCTCTCTTTTATCAGACATGCATATTGATCTGTTGACAAATGGTATGTTGGGCATGCCCAAGGTTGGTGGGTATGTCCTATTGTGTGCTACATAGGCATGTATTGAGTTCTACATATTTACTTGGCTCAATTTTAGTATAAAAAAAAAGTTAATTTTCCCTCCACATTCTTATGTCTTGTTTTCAAATATTATCCAACATTATTCAAATTCTCTTCCTCTGTTACTCCTTGCATTAAAAACCTTGAATAACCTTTTTTTTTTTTTTTTCATGGTCATAAACTTTTTTTTCCTTTCAAATATTGATGTAATCAAAGACAGATTAGAAAATTGTTTTACTAGTTTCTCGAGATACGTCATCATGTCGAGGGCACCATAATAATTTTTGTTATTTTTATTTTTTACAAAAAAATTGAGAGGTTGAATGTCACATTCGTGGTAAAATAATATTTCTTTTCTGATGTCCATGTTGGTTTTGTTTTTTCTGACCTTGCTTTTTGTACCACTTGGATCATTAGAGCAACCATTGTTAAAAATTTCTTGTTCTCATGCTCAAAAAAAAAAAATTTCTTGTTCTCTATCAAAGAAACTTTAGCAAGGTTTTGATTGCTTGGATCGAATCTGCTTAGAGCAAGGAAGTGATCAAGTGGACTTAATCTTTAGAGCATTGAAGTGATCAATCTACTGGGCTTCAACCTTTAAAAAAATTTAGTGTCAGTTTTTGTGAAGATTCACATGGTTCACTTTGCCCTGCTTGGATTTTTCAGGTGTAATCAATGTGTTGGTGAGTAATGGAAGGCAAATTGATGCTGTTAACCTAGCTTTTGCATTTGGGCTTACAGAACAGTTTTCACCAGTATCATTACTGAAATCCTACTTGACTGAGGCAAAGAAGGTTTCTTCACCCAGCAAAAGTGGAAACACCTCTCCTACTGTACAGGTTTGTTCCCCATTCTTCAATTTGTTAAAAGATGAAATGTGTTGTCATTTCTAATAGAAAAAATGCTAGAGACTCCAAATATTCTACCAAAAGTTCTACCAGGGTCCCACACCCATGTGAGTGATGTGTCAAATTTTTGGTACCATTTTTTGTATCCCTAGCATTGCGTGTTCTTTCCATTGCACAATTGGAATAATGTTGTTAGTTTTTTAATATTGGGAAGTTTGGATTGATTATATATAGTATGCATGCCATTCTTTGGTGCTTTTCCCTTCAGGGGTTTCTTTTTGCAATTTTTTTGGATCATGACATTTGTGCAAGTTTGCTTTTGAAGTATTTGGCTGGAACTTAGTGGAATGGGCTGATACTGGGTGTTCAGTTGGTTTTGACAACCGGATATGATAATCTTCGTCTTCTTTCTTTCCTCCTTGTTTTTTGGTCACTCGTTTAACTAATCTATTAAATTTTCCTGAGATGCAGAATGAGGTCAATGAAAGGGAGCTGACTGCACTTAAGGCTGTGATCAAATGCATTGAAGACCACAAGCTTGAACAGCAGTATCCGATGGACCCACTCCAAAAACAGGTTCTCCAGCTAGAGAAGGCAAAGGCAGACAAGAAAAGGGCGACAGAAGTTGCAAAACCCCAACCCAAAAGACCTCGTGCCAATGGTGTCGTAGGACATGGACCTCGATTTACTAATGTTGCTGCTGACAAGAACTTCTATCCTAGAGTGACTGACAGGTACCCGCAGTACATATATGACAGACCCTATGTTTACCCTGGACCAACTGACAACCATGTTCCCTCGGTTATGGGTTCTCCTGCTTACATGTCTCCAGTTCATGGCAACTTCTTTGGAAATGGCTTCCAGTACCAGGCCCCGTATCTTCACTAGTGGGTAGGAATGTCTAAACTTTGATTATGATCCCCGTTAACAGTTAGTGTTAACCCCTTCAGTTTGTTAATGTTGCAATGTATGATCGAATTTAGTATCGTGAAAAAAGACAAAAAAATAACCTTGTTGATTTTTAATTTTCTGTACTAGCTGATACTGTGGTCCTTCTAATATATGCACTGTTTTTAATATTTATGCAGTTGGTTGTTTTGTTTTGTTTTGTCTTGTATTTTGTTTGTTTTGTTTTCATGTTTCCACTTTGCTATTGTTCTTACATTATTATTATTATTGTTCTTTTTGTGATTCATAAACTTGAAGATTTTCTTGGTCTTACATTCAAGCATGAACTTTTATCTCCATGGAGAAGTTTGAGCAGGCCTAATATTTTGCAGGGACTCTATGTGACGTATGGTTGTCTTGTCTGTGAATAATTTCTGTGCATGTAGCACAGTTCGTCATTTATTCTGTGAATGATTTTGTGCAAGAAGTTTTATTCAATCATCTTTGAATGTTGGCTGCATTCAAGTGTAGTTCTACATAAAAATAAAGTGTAGTTCTACATGTACAGAAACGAATTACAAAACATGTAGCTTTACATTTACATGTTGGCCTCACCTCTTGTAAGTGTTTTATAACTAAGTGATTTCTGTGTTTTGTTTATATGAAAGTATCTTTTTCCTCCATGCATTCAATGGAGTTGGGGCAAAATTTTCGTACTCATTCCCATTTCCAAAAGTGCATTATATTCGCCATCCTCCCCTCAATTCCCAATGGAAAATATTTTGAGCATCCCATGCCTGCAGACTAGTAACATGATGTAGCATATTCATATCATCACTATTAAATATTAATGAGATTCATGTGATAAACAAAATGTGAAATCTATTATATCTATGATTATGAGTATGTCACATCATGGGATAACAAAATGTGATATAACCTCCGTTTTGGCAAGTTGGGTTAAGGGTTTTTTGGCTATTTTTGTCACAAAAGATAAAATAGGCTATTTTATTCACAAAAAATAAAACATCATATCCAACCCATAATCATTACACTCTTTTTTCATAAAAAAAGTTAAAAAAATTAAAAAGTCCTTCTTAAACCAAGTTTTTAGCTCATGCTAAAAAAGTCAAAAAGTCAACTCACTTCTCAAACCTACCCATAAATACATAATAAGTATAGCATTGTTCTTTCATAAATTGTTCACTATGATTGTGTTCTTCAATGAAAAATCCTTGAAGCCAACTGGCTGGTGGTCTCTCCTAACTCCCAAGCGAAATCAGACATGGATGTTCTAGTTTTGAAGAAATAGAAGTAGAAAATTCACCTATCAAAGCTCTAATTAGAATTTAAAATGGTGGTTAGCAAACATGATATTGTCAAAATCTACTATAATTCGGCACAAGTAAATTATACCCCTATCTTAATTTGTCTATGATAATATTATTACATTTATAGTGATTAGATATTAATGAGATTTATGCAAGTCAATAAACTTTATTATATTAATAATTATAAATATGCCACATTAAATAATAAATAAAAAGTAATAAAAAAATATGACTTTCTAATATTAATAATTGACATTCACAAGCTTCTTCGAATTTTCTCATTTTTGGTCAAATAAAAATTTTAACAACATTTTGCATGTCCCAATAAATCCTGATTTATTGCTAAACATATTAAAAATTTGTAAAATTTTCAAATGAAACCTTTTCTTTTGATAGTCTATGAGATTCAAATGATTTAATTTTTTTTTCTTTCTAAGGCATATTTGTAAACAATCACTACACACAAATAAGAGTTGGTTTGGGATGTTCTAAAAAAGTGTATTTTTTGACTTATTGGCTTATATGGGTTGGGTTTGCATTGGGTTTGATGTGATGTGTTAGAGAGGTGATGTGATTTAAATAAGATGATGTGACTTAAATAGGATAGTGATTTTTTGTATTATTTAAGTTATGCCAAACTTAGCCTAAATAACCGTGCTTAAAACCTTCTAAAAACCATTTTTGAATACACGTATATTCATTTTCCCGCAATTTCATTGCGCGCCAAAAAAATGAGAATCTCGGAGATATCGTCGCCGGATCTCCGGCAGAGCCTCAACGATCCCCAATCTCACATACTCTCACAAATCGAGTCTTCGATCAAAGACCTCGAACGTCACTCGCCGGAACCTCCCTCGCCGGAGACTCTCTCCTCCGACCTTCGACTCAGCCTCACTCAGCTGACCTCCCTCTCTCCCTTCTCCAACTCCGTCAAGCTTCAGATCTGGAAGCTCAGCTACCGCCTCTGGAACTCCTGCGTCGACCTCGCCAACGCCGCCGGAGTCCGATCCTCTTCCGCCGCTCCCTCTGGCGAACACGCGAAGCTCCGCCACGTCTCGGCTGATTTGCTCTTCCTCGCCGCCGATGTCGTCGGAGTTCCGTCGCCGGCATTCAAGTCCGCTTCGTTCTTCTATAAAACCGGCCTCATCTGGCACGATCTTCGAAATTTCAATCTCGCCAACACTTGCTTCGAGAAAGCCACAGATCTCACCTCTAGGATCGATATTGGTGCTGTAATAGACAGCGAAGAGCGAAAACTCCTACTAGGTCTGAACATCGCGAGATCGAGAACGGCTTGGGAAATTTCGGATCGAAATCTGGCGATTACGTTGCTGAATCGATCGAAAAGTTTACTCTTCGGATGTGCAGAGAACTACAAAGCTTTAGCTAACCAATATTTGATGTTTGGAAAAATTGTGCTGTCGAAGAATGAGGTTTGTGGTGTGAACGAAGGGTTGAAATTGATGAACGAAGCTTTAGATCTGTGCGAGAAGGGGCTGAGGATAGTGAAGAGGCTAGACGAAACCCTAGCTCTCAAAACATTGAGATCAAAGACGCTTAGATTCATTGCGGCTTCGCATTTGCAGAGAGATGAGTTCGAGAGTGTGTTGAAGTGTGTTAGGGTTTTGAGAGATGGTGGTGGTGGAGACGATCATCCGAGCCTGAGTGTGTTGGCGATGAAGGCATGGTTAGGGTTGGGGAGGTACGGGGAGGCTGAGAAGGAGCTGAAGGGCATGGTGGTAAATAAGGGTGTTCCGGAGTGTGTTTGGGTGTCAGCAGTGGAGTCGTATTTCCAGGCAGCGGGAGTGGCAGGAGCGGAAACCACGAAGGGGGTGTTTTTTGGTCTTCTGGGGAGGTGCCACGTTAGTGCAGGTGCTGCAATCAGAGTGGTTCGAAGGGTGGTTGGGGATGGTGTGATTGGCGAGGGGCCGGTAAGGGCTAAGGTGGTGGCTGAACTGGTCTCGGATGAGAGGGTGGTGGCTCTTTTTGCCGGAGAGGAAGTTGTGAAAGAGAGGACAACAATGCATGCAATTCTGTGGAACTGGTAAAGTTCATAATTTTCTTGCCTAATTCCAATTTTTACTACTAGTTATGTGAATTTGTGGTTGCTAACTTACTATTGCTGTTATAAGTATGGAAGCAAGCAGTATTTTAGACTTTCTGTTCTAGTCAAATAAGATTTTTTGAATAAACTGTTACTTCTCATGATCTGGGTTTATAGCAAAATGATTTAGAAGAATTTACCCATTATGTCTCTTTTTAATGAGGTAAGAAGCAACCAAATTGTTTGCTCAATGGTGTTCGCAGGAACAAAATCTGTTGTAAGCTGTTAGTCAAAGTTGGGAAAAATTAGTAGATTTAGAGGGCAATTTTGCTTGTGAGGTCATTGCCTCAGTTGAACAAATGGCTCTTTCTTTGAGTGTCAACTGCTTATTTGTCTAGGTGTTTAGCCTAAAGTTGGTTTCCAGGCCTTCATCATTATCTAACTCTTTCAAGTGTTCCAAAATTTAAAACTAATTTTCAGTCTTTATTACATTTTTTTTACCTCTCAGTATGAATCATGAATATGTAGTACTAATATGTAGAACCATGGTTGGAACTGGAAGCATTTTTTCACAAAAAAAAATTTCTTGAATCAATTTTTATCCTGCTTTTCCAGTGCTGCACATCATTTTCAATCTAAAGATTACGAGACGAGTGCAGAGATGTTTGAAAAGTCTATGCTCTATGTACCTTTTAACATAGAGAATAGGATTCTCCGAGCAAAGGGCTTCAGAGTTCTGTGTCTCTGCCACCTAGGCCTCTCCCAGCTAGATCGAGCTGAAGAATATATCAATGAGGCCGACAAGGTATTCATAGAAGTAATAACAAACTGGAGCTTTGTTCCGTTGAAAATAAAGTTCTACTGAATTTCTTGATGCTTTTCTGTTTCTGCAGCTTGAACCCAGTATAGCCTGTGCTTTCCTGAAGGTTTGGTCCCTGCCTCGGTCTCTGCAACCTGCAGAAACCTACTTAATTCTCTTTTAAGACTTGCTGATAACTATTTCTACTTCAAAAATGACATTTGCTTCTATTCTTCCAGTTCAAGATCAATCTGCAAAAGAATGACCACAATGGGGCTATTACTCAGGTGCAAGTCATGACAACATGCCTTGACTTCACTCCTGACTTTCTCTCTCTTTCAGCTCATGAAGCTATTGCTTGCCATGCTATTCCTGTTGCCGTTGCCTCTCTATCAAATCTCCTAAATTTTTACTCCAAAGGGAAATCCATGCCGACAACAGAGGTCACGGTGTTGCGCACTCTAGTCATGATCCTCACACAAGACTCTGGCAATGAGTCTGAAGTCCTCAAATTCATTAAACAAGCTCATAAGAGGTTATTAGAGCTTGGACCTGATTGCTTCTTTGGGAAAGGTGAGGTGGGGAGACGGGAACGGGATTGGCTTGCTGTGAACTTATGGAATATTGGGACGAAAACAGGGAAGGAGAGAAATTATGAATTATGTGCAGAATTCTTTAGATTGGCATCAGAGTTCTATGGTGTTGTGGTTGACGGGGAAGTGGAGGGAAACAAGGTCATGGTTTGCAAATCATTGATATTGACTGTGTCTGCCATGATAGCTGATGAGAAGCAAAGAAAGGCTACATTGCTGGACAACGAAATCAAACAAGCCATCGAACTGCTAGATAGAGCCGGAATGGTAACAACCAAGAGTTTTCATTGATTTCAAGTTCTGTCACACCTCGACTTTATACTTTTCAGTGTTTTACACCACTATGATAACTAACCCTGATTACTCTAACAGATGAATCGCAATTATTTTATTAAAAAAAAAGAAAGAAAGCTTTTTTACTGAAAATTGTTTCAATCCCATGTAATTGTATTCGTGTTTGGATGCAGATACTAAAATCAATCTCTTCTGGGAGCCAACCAGATGGTGATGAGATCACCACCATCGAACCCAACTTTTTCTTTATATACACATTGGAGGCGTATGACCTACATGCAAGGCTCAACATAATGGGATCCCAACAGCTCCTTCTGATAAAGAACTTTGCTGCCTCAAAATCTTGCAACTCTAATTATCTCCTTCAGATTGGCCTTCACGCCTCACAGGGTCCACGGTCTAACCCTGAAGTAGCGGCCTTTGCTCTAAATACCTGCCTCTCTATCCTCCTTGCTTCCCCCTCACCAGATTACCAATGCGTGGCTCTCGCTGTCAGGAAACTGATTTCTGTATCTGCCATTCATAAAGGTGATGCAGATGATGATGATGATGTACACGGAATGTTCAAGCAAGCATACCGGATTATGGTGGGTTTAAAGGAGGGGGAGTATCCCATTGAAGAGGGGAAATGGCTTGCCATGACAGCATGGAACCGGGCAGCACTCCCGGTGAGGTTGGGGCAGACTGAGGAAGCAAGAAAGTGGATGAAAATTGGGTTGGAACTGGCTGGGAAGGTTTCTGGGATGGGCACTTATAGGGCATGCATGGAAGATTTTCTTGCTGGCTTTGAAAGTAAATTTCATTGCCATGACAATGCTGAAAGCAGGTCTGAAGTAGTCATAAACTCATAGACCTTTCATGTTGCAAACACAAGATCAGCAGCTTGTAGATGGATCAGTTGTATAGAACTCCATTTACATATTCCTATTCTACTTTGTACATGATTCCAGTTTAATCTTCTCTTCTAAATTCTAATCCTACATCACAATCAATTCACAGAGAGAAACACACATTTCTCACTATAAAATTTAGCCCCTCAATAATTTGTTTGTTTATTTATTAAGGCTATCTTTCATCCATGTAAATAAATTGGATGGTGCAATTTATTTGTGTGTCCGCCGCACGTTACTTTAATAATTCAAAACGTCGATACAAAAAAAAGAAAATAATAATTCAGTGGATATTTGAAAATTTGATTATAAATTAGCGATAAAATTTATAGATATTAATAATTATAATGTTAAAACTTTTCATGAGTTTGTCCTTTATAAAAAAAGAACAAGTATCATCTATTTATGTTGTGATCAAATAATATGGATATCGTTATTTTATTAAAATAAATGCATAATTTTGTCATCCCATCATGTGAATACTAATCTTTAAAGTAAAAGCTTTGAATTATTGAGGTAAGTTAGTGGGCCCACAAAAAGTAAACGGCACCTTTTTTTTTTTTTTTTTTTTCACGTTTTGCATGCTGTGATTGAAAAGTACTTTTAAGTTCTTATAGTTTGTATTGTTGATCCTAATTTGAGTTTCATTGGCTTCATAGGTGACCATGTCAACACAATCTGCCTGCCTCAATCAATCGTCATTCGTGACAATTTTAAAAGTATGAAACGAAAATTAGTGATATTATTTTATTTGAAATTTTTTGTTTGTACAATTACATTTTATATATATATATATATTTTGTAAACTTCGTGTTACTTGCAGCTTTAAGAATTATCAATAGAAAATATAAAATGTCAAAATATTTATAATTTTAATATATTTTTTACATATTTAAAAATATCTTTACATATTTTATACATGTTTTACACATTTTAATTTATTTTTTTAATATTTTTTTTAACAGTGAAAACAGTTTTAAGGACTGTTTTTGACATTTTTCCTTTTGTAATAGGGAGTATGGAGTGCAATTTACGGTGTTGACTAGTCCCTGTTTTTGTTATTATTGTTTTATTATTTCTCCGTGTTGATTGGTATTCATTCAAAGTTAGAAAGTCATTTTCAGAAATGTCATTTATTGAGAAAAAATATTTGAAGAAGTGTTCAAAATTTAAATGTATGATGAAAATTTAAATTTGATATAATATGAGTTACATTTAAAAATGTGATCTATATGTTTTTAATTTAAAAAATACTCTAAATATATTTTTTTTTTGAATATGTAAATTGTTGTAACTAATTTTTTACAGACAAATAATTGAAAATCAGAAAGCATATTCTAGACTTAGGATTGTTTTGAAAATTGCCTATTTTAATTAAATTTTTGATTTTTTCCAAAGAAGCATGCTAAAAAATAGAGACAGAACTTGATTTTTTTGAAGTGATTTTTTTGATTATTTGCTGAAATAAGCCTTAAACAAGTAATGATATACAAATAATTTTTTTTTTTTGTAGATTTTTCATATAAAATAAATGGCTTCTTATAATTTTTTTTTTCGGTTTTTTATTAAAACACTCGTCACCATCCTTTGGGCTATTTTGAGAAGATGGTTATAATCAATTTAGAGGAAGTGGGTTATAATCTGGGAAGTGGATTATAACCCACTTCTCAAAAGGGGGTAATTTTAAAAATACCATTGACATATCATTAGGGTGTGTTTGTTTTGAAGGATTAGGGAGTGAGATTGGACTATTAGTCCCACTAGACTAATAGTCCATTTTTTGTTTCATTTTTTTTGCTCCGGACTAATAGTTCCCCGGACTATTAGTCTCACAAATATGAGACTATCCTATCCCATGGGGGGAGGTGGGATAGAAACCATGTGATTGGTATTCCATGGGACTATTTTGTGAAATGTCCATTTTACCCTCCATGCTATTACTCAGCAAACAATTAGAAAAGGATAAAATAGTCTTTTGAACATTTATAAATTATTTTTTTAGTGTTGTTAATTTAAAATTATATATTAAATAAACAAATTTAATTATTATAAATTTAATTTAATTAAAAATAATAAATTATAAATTATGGCCTTATAAATTAAATTTTTTTAGTGTTGTTAAAAAATTAAATTTACATATTAAATTAAATTATTTTTTTAGTGTTGTTAATTTAAAATTATATATTAAATAAAAAAATTTAATTATTATAAATTTAATTTAATTAAAAATAATAAATTATAAATTATGGCCTTATAAATTAAATTTTTTTAGTGTTTGTTTGAAAATTTAATTATATATTAAATAAATTTATTTTTATTGTCGTTAATTTAAAATTATGTATTAAATAAAAAATATAAATTATAAATTAATTTAATTTAATTGAAAATAATAAATTAAAATATTGTGCAAAAAATAAAATAAAACAAATTTTTATTTAATCTAGCTAAAAATAATTAAAATATTAAAGCTATGGTTAATATTGCTATTACTTAGTAAATAATTGAAAAAGATAAAATAGTCATTTGAGCATTTATCATTCTCCATAATATTCCAAACAAACATTGGATAACTAAAAATAGTCCAATCCAGACATCTAATTCTATGACTAAACAAAAATAAGATATAAATTTAGTCCAACTATATAGTCCGGGATAATATATCTCAAGACTAATAGTCAGATAGATTGCAATCCTCTCTTACCAGTCCGTCCAAAAAAACGCACCCTAAATGAGTAGGGAATTGGATTCCAAATAGTAGATTCAAAGAATGACATTTAAATGAGTTTTAAATTGAGAGATGGATTCTAAAGATATTTAAGGCTCTGTTTGGTAAGCCTCTCAAATTATTAGTTTCACCAATTATTTAAATGTGTTTTTGTTTGGAGTTTTCAAATAATAATTTACACCCAATTTCTCAAAACTCAATTCAAAACATAATCATTACTTTTCAAAACTCATAATCAAACACATAATTCAAAACTATTTTCAAAACTCAATTTAAATCAATATTTAATTTTTTAAATATTTTAAATTTTTAAATATTTTAATTTTGTTAAGATTTTAAATATTTTAATATTTAAACATGTTACGATTTTTTTAATTTTTTGATTTTTGAATATTTTTAATTTAAATCATATTACGATTTTAATTTTTTAATTTTAAAATATTTCATAAAAATAAATTCAAACTCTATTTTATAAAAATATTTTTAAATTTTTTAATTTTTGTTATGTATTTGATTACGATTTGAGTGTAGAGTTGTGAAAGTAGTACGAAGTTTCGAGTTATGTAAACGGTTATGAGTTTTAAAATAATTTCCTTAGATTGAGTTTTGTTTTATGTGTTTGGTTACGATTTGAGTGTAGAGTTGTTTTTAAATTTAAAATATTAACATTTTAAATTATTTAAATTTTTTGAATATTTAAATTATTTAAATTTTTACGATTTAAATTTTTTGAATATTTATTTTAATTTTTTACTTATTAAATTTTTTAGATTGTTGAAATTATTTAAATATTTATGATTTAAATTTTTTGAATATTTATTTTGAAAAAATATTATTTCCTTTGTAGTTTTTTCAATTAACAAATTGATTAATGTTATTTTCTGTTAATAATAAATTTTCTTAATTAAATTTTAAAAAGAGTTTGGTTATGAGTGTTGATTATAATTTTCAATAGTGTGAAAGTAGTGTATTTTGTTATAAGTTATAACAATTTGAATTAAGTTTTGAAAACTCTTTCCAAAACTCATAACCAAACAAATTTTCTTACTTCATATGCCAAATCAAACTTTCAAAATTCAATTCCACATTCAATTCAAAACTCAATTCCATACTCAATTCAAAAATCATAACCAAACAAATTTTCTACACTCAAATCATAATTCTATAACTCACAAACTCAAAATACAACTCACACTCTCAAATTATATTTACAAAACTCTACCAAATCATAATTCTACAACGCCTTTCTTTAGATGTTGGTTGGCTTTTTAGTTTTTTTGGCATTTTCAAGTCTCGTTTGAGAATATGTTATTTTAGTAATTTTTTGGTTAAAATATGAGGTAAAAAAAATTAGTATGTTTGGGATGCCTTTTTGATTTTTTACAAAAAAATATGCAAAAAGAGAATCTTTGACTTTTTAGTATAAGTTATAAATTTTTTGATTTTTTTAAGTAATTTTTTGACTTTTTGGTTAAAACACTCACATGCCAAACGAGTCAGGGGCTAAAAAACCTTGTTTGTGATATTTGTTTTTTGTTTTTTTTTACTTTTGTGAGAGAAAAAATAAAATGATCATAGTTTGAATGTGATATTTTATCTTATTAATTTTTTAATTTATTTTAATTTTTTGTGATTATTTTAATCCAAAAGTTATATGCCAAACTAAGGCTAAATCGACAAGAACCTGAAGCCAAACTTTGAAAACTCGTGTGGATTCAAATGCATATTCGTTGCAGCTAGGGGTATGCATAATACCGTCGAAACCGTCGAAATCGCCAAAACCGCACCGAGTCGCACCGCCAAGGCAAATTCGTTATTATTTGCCAATCGAACCGCCGGTTTTTAGTAAGAAAAATAGCAAATTCTAGTGATACTTTTATCAATCCGCCGGTTTCTATTTGTCTTCCAAACCGCACCGACCCGCACCGCTATTAAATCATGTTTTATAAGATTCTAAAAATTCTTTTATACTTAAGTTTGCTTGTTGTTCTATACCTTAGAATATAGTATTACATTACTGCTCGAGGGGAATTCAAGATGTCAGTAATTCAAAATAAAGTTGGATTCCAATTCACTTTTCAATCTTTTTTTTTTCTGGCCATGTTGCAAACTTGCATCAGCTTACTTTTCAATCTAAATACTTTTCAACAGTAAACATTTTCAATATATTGTAAACCCTGAATGATATTAATTTTATGTATTGTATTTGATCATTGTAGCTTCCACAGATGCTTGTAATGAACTGATGGCATAGTCGTTGATATTATCATGTTGTTGCTACACTTGCTGCATCAGAAGAAAGCTTCGCAAGATGCTTAACATCACGGTATCTCTCGTCTTTTTTTTACTCTTTGATTTAAGTTTTTAATTTGAATTATATTTTTTATAAACCGCCAATCCGCCCGAACCGCCAAGGCAAATCCGCTATTATTTGCCAACCGAACCGCC